GTTACTTCTCACCAACATAGAGAAATTTGAAATTATTCATATTTCTCAGGAACAAAATACTCGTGTAGATACTCTTTCGAAATTTGCTACATCACCATTTGATTATCTTTTTAAGAGGAAACATATCAAAGAAATATTCTTTCCTAGCATCGAAGAACCCTGGGTTATGTAAACAATTGATAAGTTAAAAGAGCCCTCTTAGATTGATCATATATTATCCTTCTTTCAATGAGTGCCACCCAAAGATCCAATAATTATAATGTGACTCTGGAGGTAGGCTACTAACTTCACCATCATTGGTGGATAATTATATAAACTAGCTTTCAAAGGACAATACCTCAAAAATCTTCCACCTTCAGAAGCTGATTATACACTACGAGAAGTTCATTCATGCATATGTGGGAAACATTTAGGAGGAAGGGCATTGGCTAATAAAAATATAGGACAATGATTCTTCTGGCCCACGATGAAGCAAGACACACGAGAATTCACTTAGAAGTGTAATAACTATCAATGGTACTCCAACTTCACTCATTTAATAGCCACTGAACTTTCATCATTTCAAAGTTCAAGGCCCTTCACCCAATTGAGGAACGATATAATGGGTGCTTTCCCAATAGCTACCAGGTAGCAAAAAATTATCATCTTGATAGTGGACTACTTCACCAAGTGCGTGGAGGTCAAAGCCCTCAAAAAAATTAAAAATCAAATGCAAAATAATTAATATGGAAGAATATTATTTATCATTTTGGCATTCCGGCAAAAATCATCACTAACAATAAACCCAATTTAGTGGAAAAAATCTTTATGGTATTTTGTAAAGACCTCCATATACAACTAGTGCGCACAACTATGACTCATCCTCAAGAAAATGGACAAGCTGAGAACATTAAAGCTAAAAGATGTTAACAGAAAAATGTTGCCATGGACCTAGAATATTGGAAATCTTCACAAATATTATTGGTAGTTGTTATTAAAACTATTCAATATTATGTAGATCTCCTATTTTTATGAAATATCATGAAATTATTATATTATCTTCTAAAATAGTAAAAGTTTGTATGATCATTATCATCATTGTCCTCTTTTTTTAAACAGGAACATAGCAATGGTCCTAAACGAAAAATAAAACATAACGTTGATTCTAGAAATACACAATATTCATTATATCTCAATCAACGCACAATATATCCCAAGGGGGTTTGATCCATCCTCATCCACACAAGTTAATATCAACATGCAATGCTTTGACAACACAACTTTAGATAGGTTTAAAATTATAAGATGATATATATCCTTCCTTTGATTAATCATATAGGAATTCCATCCAACTTCTTCCACACGGGTTATTTTCATCAAGCAATGCTTTGACAACACAACTTTAGATAGGTTAAAATCATAAGAGGATATTTATCCTTTCTTCGATCAATCCTATAGGAATTTGTTCCAACTTTTTCTACATGGGTTAATGTCATCAAGCAGTGTTTTGACAATACAATCTTGGATAGGTTAAACATCCTAAATGAATGTTTCTCAACTATTTTAAATTAATAAAAAAAATGTGTTATATCATTAAATTAAATGAATCACAAATTCTTAAGAAAAATTTCTTTTGCAAAGTTATAAAATAGTTTAATATTTCTTAAATTCTATACATAAGGAGATACATCTTTAGAAACAAAATGAATACTTAAAAATCTCTAAGAGAAATAGATGAAACACAACAAATATTGAACATCCTATGCAATATAAACATCATCATCATCACTAAAAAGAACCTTTTTCAGATCACTTTCAATATCTTAATTATTTGAATCTGGAGAAGAATTCTAGGATGCTTGATTGGGAGAAAGTCCTTCAATTTCAACCCCAATCTTATGGTGAACAAATCCTTCACTTCAACATCAAATAATTTTTCATAAGCCTCTTGAACGCAACTTTGGATCTCTTGGTGATAAGTTGTAGACTTTTTCATTCTTCATGGCCTTTAATGATATGGTCATCGCCGGAGTTCTTCCCGCCATCGCCTGAGTTCCTTCTCGACCATTTCCGGAGTTCTTTCCGAACGTCGCCGGAGGTTCTTCCTGACCGTTGCCGAAGTTTCTTCCCGATTGTTGCCAAAGTTCTTCTTGACCGTCGCTGGAGTTCCTTCTTGACCGTCGCTGGATTTCTTCCCGCAGTCGCCGAAGTTCCTTCCCGACCATTGTCGAAGTTCTTCCCAACCGTTGCCGAAGTTCCTTCCCGATCATCGCCGAAGTTCCTTCTTGACTGTTGCTGGAGTTTCTTCCCGATAGATGCCAGAGTTCTTCTTGACCGTCGCCGGAGTTTCTTCTTGACCGTCGACGGAGTTCTTCTTTCCATCATCGGAGTTCCTTACCAACTGTTGCTGAAGTTCTTTCTGACTATTGCCGGAGTTCCTTCCCGACCATTGCAAGAGTTCGTCCCGCTGTCACGAGAGTTCCTTCCCAACCGTTGCTGGAGTTTCTTCCTGACTATTAATGAAGTTTTTCTCAACCACAATCTTACTTCCGCCCATTCGTCAATCATTGACATATTTTTTGTCCAATTATTCAATTTGTTAGAATTCTAGCATCTCCAAGTAAAAGAGAGAATTAAACTTTGTAATTCATCCAAACTTAGTGAAATTTTCTCATATGGGACAGGCCCCGTGATTTGTCTCTTTTTGCATTTTTCATATAAAAAAAAAATTATGGTATTTCTCTCTCAACCATCTATTGGTGTGCCAAATATACTTATATTGCAAAGACATTATGTTTTTACTCTACTACCGCATATATTCTCGTCCACAACAATGTTAAATATATAAATAAAATTAAAATTTCAACTTCAGTCTTAAAAAACAAAATCATTTAATTTTTTAAGTATATAATTCTACAAATAAATAGATATTACCAATTCTTCGCATTAATAAAATAGACATCTAACAGCTTTTGACACTAACATCACTAAAAGTAGCACACATCTTTTTTTTTTTTTTTTGACGTTTAGGGGATTCGAGATGGGACGAGATGGGACGAGATGGGAGGAATTTCTTCGGTTGATCACTTGGCCGCATGCCTGATCTCAGCTCACAACCTTTGACTTCATACTGGTGACAAATACTGGTGACAAATGAACATAAAAAGTTATATTTTTTATGCTAAAAAAAGAATGAAAACGCTTTTTAAAAGAAACTGGAGCAGATTAAAAAAATAAAAATGAGAATGTAAATATCAAGAATATGACGCATGAAATTATATTCAAATAACTCAAAATAGGCAGCACAAAAGCAGAACACTCAGGTTTTTGAGTTGGGATCAAATAAAAGCTGCAATCCAACTCACGTCACAATTAATATATCTAAGACGGAAAAATTAAAGAGAACGGCAAGATAGGCGCTAATGAAATTTTCTCATATTGATTAGGTCCTGTGGCTTTTCCCTTTCTGAACTTTTCATGTAAAAAAAATTTTGGTGGTTCACTCTCAACTATCTGTTGGTGTACCACATATGCATATATTTCTAATATGTATATTCTTGTCCATAACAATGTTAAATATATAAATAAAATTAAAACTTCAACATCGTCAAAAAAAAAATCATTTAATTTTTTAAACGTATATTTCTCTAAATAAATAGATATTACCAATTCTTCGCATTAATATAATAGACTTCCAACAGCTTTCGATACTGACATCACTAATAGCACACATCGATTTGACTTCATACTGGTGACTGACAGAGGAACTGATCTGTTCCGCAGGACAGAACATAAAAGGTTTTATTTTTTGCTAAAAAAATATGAAAACGCTTTAAAAAAAAAATTGGAGCAGATTAAAAAATATAAATGATAACGTAAAAATCAAAAATATGACGCATGAAATTATATTCAAATAATTCAAAATAGGCAACACAAAAAGTAGAACATTGAGGTTTTTGAGTTTTGTTTTAAGTATATTTGGCACAAACGTTTTGCTTTAAAATTCTCTTCTCTTTTCTTATTCGTGGCTCGCTATGAAGAACATTGTGGATGTGCTTGCGAACAAAATATTTTTATTAATCCCACGTGCCCCTTGTGTGAGATTGAAGAGGAAAGTATAAACCATCTCTTTTTTCATTGTGTGAGATTGAAGAGGAAAGTATAAACCATCTCTTTTTTCAATGCGAATACTCGTTTCAGATTCTTCGTAACTTGTTGCATGTGGTAGAGACATTCCTCTTGAGACCTACTCTTTTACAACTTTTTAAATTTTTGGAGGACAATCACTGCTATAGCTCTAAAGATAGAAATTTCAGTTTTTTTGTGGTTTGCTATTTGATTTATTTTATTTGGCGGGAAAGGAACAATAGAAGATTCTCACAAAAGCAAGCCTCTACTTTTGCTGTTCATCATTTGCTTACTTCGGCTATTTCGTTTAAAGCTGCAAGTTGGAAAAATACTGAGAGCTTATTTGAATGTTTTCCTTCTTGCTTCACCCGTCAACTGTGCTCTCTTGCTGGTTTTTTGATAACCTCGGGGCAATGATGAACCGAATTGGTGATTCGTTTTCCCTGGATGGCCTCTTCTCCCGTCAGTTCCTGGTCTAGCTTTGGCCTGGCAATTTGATTCTGCACCCGTTGGACCATTCTGGGGTTAGCTTCATGGCAACCGGGATTTCGACCGTGGTTATTTCCTTTTGCAGGCGCTGAGCAGTCTGCTGCATTGAATTCCTTTCGCCTGTGCACTAGTTCGGTATTTTCTTCCTGAGCCCTCCAAGACAATTTTGTGTCTTTTTCTGGATTGACGGGTGTTAGTTTTTTGTCTTCACTTGCTTTTTACATGTATATCTCATGAGGTGAAATGTATTTTCTTGTAATTTTTTTCAATTAATATATGGGCTTTGCCCCAAATTTTCCCAAAAAAAAAAAAAGTTTTTGAGTTGGTATCTAATAAAAACTGCAATCCAACTCACGTCACAAGAAAAATATCTAAGACGGAAAGAAAAAAAAAAAACGGCAAGATAGGCGCCAATAAAGCTGATACCGCTTTCATTAAGCACGTTCCAAAATCACAGAAACAAAATATCCCAATAGAAGCGCTTCACTTCTTAGTCTCTTGTTGCTAGCAGATCTCTGCTTCTAAACAAACCTGGGCAGGGTCAACATTGTGTTGGCACGCGTCACACCCTCCAATGCTGACCAATCTTCACTCTCCGTTGTGGAAGGAAGCTGTGAATCAGAGAGAGATCCATCATCTCTAATACTACTGTTCTCGTCTACTGAAGTTCTTACATTCTCACAGTTGTTCAGAGTGGATGGCTCCAGCTTATCTCCGTTCGTATCCGATGATTCCATTGATGGTTCTTTGATATCAGGTTCGTCATTGTTCAGAAATAGACATACTACAGCACAGTCATCTACTTTGGAGGTTGGGTACTTAAACCTCCATGCTCGAACCGCATGATTGACTAAGGAACGAGCGGCAGAAGATCGAGCAGGGGTGGATGCAACAATGTCGACCACTTCATTGTTGGAAAGCACATCCCAAATCTGTGAGTAATTATCAAGGATAAACAAAACATCATTCAACATTTAAATTGGACATTGGCTCCTACACAAATGAATAACAAAGGAAGTTTTTCGATATCTACATACCCCATCAGTAGCCAAAACAATGAATTCATCCTTCTCAGTAACGCGGCGGTAGGAGAACTCAGGCACTGAAATAAGGCCAAAATCTTTGAGACAGAAATCTCCAAAAGCACGAGCCATAGCCAAGCCAGGAGAGTTATAGTTTGGCAACCAAACCCTTGCTACTTCTGGCTCATCCTTAAGAGCAAACACCCTACCTCTGTGTCGTCGAATTCTCTCTGCTTCCTCTGAAAAATTAAGATTCATGATATGAGAAAAGTGTTTAATACAAATCTGTAATATGGAGCTAGAACAAAAATATGAAAGTGGCGTCTAGCAGAAGCATTGCAGATACCAAAACATTAATGAAAATTAATGTGCTCTTCCAAAGAGCCCCACCTTTCCCGACTAAAAAAGAGATCAACGAGCAGCAAAACTATAAAATTCTAGCACGGAATTATGAGAATCAATAGAACATAGAATATAAAGATATCTCAAAATTTTCATTGAATGGTAGGGAGGAGAGGACCAACAAAAATTTATTTGCCAAGGAGCATCATGGACATAAACCCCTATACTTAATTATATCCTGACTGTGATACCCAAAATCACTGTCGATTAAGGACAATCTACTCGTGTTATTGTCCAGCAAGGGGGAAAAAGGGGGAAAAGGTTCATTCAACGCAAAGTTCAAAAATGGATATCTTCCATTGCAGAGAATGATGGATACCATGGAATTAGATTGTCATCCAATGGAAGGGTCAACGCATCCAAGGTTATGGAAGAATATATGTTCAACTCAATAATGGGTGCAAGAAGCAATATGAGTTTTGAAGGAGGGGATATACATCCATGAGAATAGACAAGTAATTTTTGAATGAAATATGAAGGCACCTCCTAGAGGAGATTTCAGAGTCAAGAAATAAGATAAGCCTGATATGAGAATGCTTAAGAATGCTTAAGGGAAGATGGGCCATGCAACTTCATAGCAGTTAAAGACATAACCAAGTGAGCAACGTACAAGGATAAGAATAAAAGAATGAATTAAAAGCTTTATACTCGAGAACCTCAGATTATCTCAAATTATCAAAGAACCCCACCAAATTACCAGTCAATGTCGTAAAAGAAAGATGTGTTGGCAACCAAACATTTATGAACAATGGATTAAAATTCATGAATTGTGATGGATATGGAAGCTCCAAGTGATGGGTATCATGACTTAGAAAACGCAAATAAACTAAGGAGCTCTTGACTTTAAGAAAGGAGTCATAAGACGGGCTACTAATACCATGTAGGTACCCATCCCATAAATCAAACAAGAGAGGGGTCTTAAACTCCTCAGCTAGGGGGGATAAGGTTCGTTTAACACAAGGTTTAGAAATGGAGATCCTCCATTCAAGAGAATGATGGATGCCATGAAATTAGAATGTCATTTAATGAAAGGATCAATGACTGCTTGAGGTTATGAAAGAATATATGTTCAATTCAATGATGGGTACAAGAAGCTAAATGGCTTTTGGAGGAGGGATACATAGTCATGAAGACAAACAAGCAAAATCTTATGAATGAATTATTAAGGCACCTTATTCCTAGAGGTTTGAGAGTCAAGGTATATGATAAGCCTGAGGATGCTCAACGGGAGGATGGGATTTGCATCTTCATAGCAGTTAAAGACATGATAAAGTGAGCAGCCCTCAAGGGTAAAAATAGAAAAACATTGGCAAGATTTATACTCGAGAACATCAAGGAATCTCAAATCATCAAAGACAACCACCAAATTACTAGTCAATTAAGTTATACACGGAACATGTGTAAGCAACAAAAATATAAAATATTGTATGAATCCACCAATCATCAGATAGAATCAATGGGTTACAATTCAACAAATTGTGGTGGATATGGAAGCTCAAACTTATGGGTCTTTTAACTCGAGAAAAGGGAATAAGCTATGGAGCTCTTGAGTCTTAGGGAGGGATTCATATGAAGAAGCTACCATTACCATCTAGAAAACCATCCCATAGATCAAACGAGAGGGGCTTATAACTCCTCAACAACAAGAGGTAGAATGCCCAAACTGCACTTGCAATAAAACAAATCTCACATCCTCTAAACATGGAATACCTCTTAATTATAATTATATAAATTTTAAAAGCTATAACATTTAGATCTCAATACAGAGCAAGCCAAGTAAATTGATAGGTAGGAAATGGTCCTAAGATATTACTTAATAGGCAAGAATCTGACACAAACAAAAATATCTGTCATAGAGCTCAACATCAGTTCATGTGTTTGTGCATGCTCCTCCAATACCGCCATATTAAATTCACAAAATTGTGTATTAATGCAGTCAATTATATGCAGTTGGATGTGATTCAACCAAGGTCAAACCCAATCAAATGCATAAAAAAGATAAAAGCCAAATATTAGTGGAACAGGTGAATGTACGTTATCTAGAATCAACAAAGATCAAAATACTATATCAATATTTAGGGAAGAAATGTTTGTGCATAAATGTGGTTAAAAAAATGTTGCAGTCTTTCTAATGCCACCATAAGCAAGACAGAAAAGCTAAAACCCAGCCCTCCATCTTCATGTATGTGGTTTGTTGGATCCATATATGCCTTTCTATGATGCACCGACACGGACACGGCGACACGGACACGACACGACACGGACACGGGACACGACAATTTTTAAAAATATAGGACACGGGTGCGGCGTGGACACGGCATAATAATTTTTTAATATAATATATAATAATTTTTAAACCTATAGGACACAGACACGACGTGGACAAATGGCTCTTTTGAACCTTCACCTAATCCACGCCCGCCAGCAGCAGAGCTCATTTTGCTAACAAACCAATCATACATATGAATACATCAAATTAAATTGATATGAAGTGAAGATACCAGTCTGCCGGGGGTCCAATGGGGCACTGCCCCCTAGTGGGGTTCAACCTAGCAGTACCAAGCATGCACCTAGCAGTACCGAGCATGCACCTAGAGGTACCGAGCATGTACCTAGAAGTACCGAGCATGTACCAAGCAATACCGAGCATATATTGAGCAGTACCGAGCATGTACTGAGCGGTACCGAGCATGTACTGAGCGGTACCGAGCATGTACTGAGCGGTACCGAGCATCTATTGAGCAGTACCGAGCATATATTGAGCGGTACCAAGCATGTACTGAGCGGTACCGAGCATGTACCTAGCGATACGTCATTTAATAACCGGACACGCGTGTCCGATTTTAATTTTAATTTTTTAAATTACGACACTCCAATGCCGTGTCGGACACGTGTCCATGCCGTGGTGTCCCACGCATGTCCGTGTCCGACACGTGTCAGACACTGCATACCCTCTTTAAGTGCCGTGTCGGTGCATCATAGATGCCTTTGGATACTCGACTTTACAATAATAAGCAAACTCTAAGTAAGAATTAGAGAACTAGAGAAACTTTGGTGAGAATGGAAATTGTGAGAGAGAAATCAAATTGCAAGTATATTAAAAAAATATCAAGAGATCCTAAATATGTCTAAAGATTTGAGAAGTAACAAAAAGATCTAAAATATATCTTCTCAACTCTTATTTATAGGACTCGAAAGGCTATAGAGAAGAATATACAAAACAAACAATAAAAGATAAATGCACAACAATAATTATGGCCCATAAATATGGTTCTCGGTCACATGGCTAGTCCAGTAAGCGAGTATTTACCAGCTAGTGTATTGGTTGAGTCCTCTGAAAAGGTAACAATACACGAAGCTGTATGGACGAGTCCTTTGGATGCGAAGGTGAGTCCCTGAGGGCTCAACTTCGACCTTTGGCGTGTTGATAACTACATGCTAAAAATTGCCCGAGTATGGAGGGTTGTAGTTATAGTTCCATAAGGTCCTTAATGTGCAAGGCTTACTAGGGGAGGGAACTAGGAGCTCATAATATTTTTAGGATGATTCATATCTGAATATCATAGTTTAAATCCTAAATTATTAACCTCCTTAAACTTCTCACCAAACCATTTAGTTTCCTAAGTGCATAATATTTATCTTCTTATGAATTATAATATCTATTAATTTCATTAATTAACCTATAAGAGAACCTACATTCTAAGTTTCTATCCCAATTCTAGTTTCATGGACTAATTTCTTTGTCCACATCCGTCCGAGGTGTGGGAACACTTGCTTCTTTAGAAAGTCCCTTGGGCGATTTACTAGCAAGTGTATTAGATGAGTCCTATAAAAAAGTCACACAAATAAGTCACAATTAAAGAAACCTAGGGTGTGCACTCCCTGTAGCTAGATCGAGGTACATCAATGAAAACTTGATAGCTTTATTGATGGCATGTGGCCTTGGGAGGTTGATCTGTGTTGAGATGAGTGTCCATCTAATGCTTGGAAGAATCTATGCAAGTTCTCATGTATACATGGTTAGGATGACAACTCGATTTGATCGACTTCAATGTGTCACAACTCTTGTTGGCAAGTGCCTAAAACATGTGATTGATTGCTTTGGACAAGTTCTCTTGTTCGAGCCTATTACATATCAATGAAATGCCTACAAGAACATGTACGAATATATAGGTTCAATTTAATGATTTACACAATAACGATCTTAACTCAAATATGCATAACAAGAGGCAAAGAAATCTCGAAAGCCTTTTATTTTAAAAAGGAAAGGACATCTACATAAGACTAGGTACATAAGATAGTAAGGTAAGTGGATTGCTTTAGAATTTATTTAATAAACCAAACATATTTCTGAATTTTTGGAATTTGATATAAAAACAAAATACTTGTCATGATTCAAAATAAAATATTCCTCAATGAGATCATGAAAGATGGAAACTGCGAAACAAAATCAACCTAGAAATAGCAACTTAAATAAAGAGGTTTAGGATATTAATAAGCTTATGGCTTATTGAAAATAAAAAGAGTAATCCCTAAACCCTTAGAAATCCCCTCACAAAGCACAAATTCTAATTGTAAATATTAAAAGAATGTAGTATTACACAATCCACCAAATAAAATATCTTTTGATACCTATCAACGTCCATCAACGGTTTTTGGGCAAGATCTTTATTGTGATCATGAAAATTATATCCATAAAATGTAGCCAATAACAATGAATCTTAACAGGTGAGAATGCATGAACATCCAGTAAAACATAAGCATCACCTTTACTTTTTGCCAAATTTCCCTCACTAGGATGATGGAGCAAGAGAGAGAGAGATGACTCAATATAAAGTTAAAGAGTGGTCCACCATAGAGGTTGTTTATTTCTCAACAAAAAGAAAATTTTTATTGGCCAAATACAATCGAAGAAAGTTGAC